ATAGAATGCTCGGTAAGGCAGTGAGACTGGCAATACTTCGCAGAGAGTGTTTGGGCAAGCCATGCTTTATGGCTGCCAAACAGGAAGTCACCAACGAGGCAGCAGAGGGAGCGTGACAGTCAATACTCGGGCGAGGGCTCCCTCTGCTGGCCTGACATTACAATGCCATTGTATTTTACAGTTGATGTTATGGTGCTGATGGTTCTCCTGATATGCAAGTTTTCTGATTTAAAAAATAAAAAAACAATAAAACATTTTACAAGTTTTTCCACAAGTTCTACTCGATGTAGCTTATCAGACAGTAACCTGCTAAACTGTATGTCTTGCCTCATTAACTCTTAACATAGCACCGGACTGTTACCTGCATGAAACATCCTCTGTTTAAATCTAGATTAAAGACACATCTCTTTGGCCAAGCATTCAAATAATGCATCTCATAATCTAGTACTGCAGTTATATCTGATCAAATGCACATTATTATTCTTTAGTTTGGGTTAAACAAATCCATTTTGCTTGGTTGGAACAGCAGCTACGCTAATTATGTCTCTATTTGTTTCTCTGTTTCTGCTGGGATTGACATCCCGTGGTAACTAGGATTTACACAAGCTTCAGTCTGGATCCAGAACACCTGAGAAGAGATGATGCCAACCCCTCAGAGGACCTCAGATGATGCCAACCCTGAAACAACATACAGAACTACCACATTTTGCTATAAGTTTGATTGCATCATATAATAATTGCTGTTAATAGTGTTCATCGTCTGTTTGATTACGTCTTTAATTGATTTTTCCGTACATTTCTGCCATATGTACATTAACTGACAGTCACCACTGATAAGCTACCACTAAATATTGTAGAAACTTAATTTGCTGTAAAGTTGCTTTGCAACGATTTGTATCGTGAAAAGCGCTATACAAATAAACTTGAATTGAATTTAATTTAATTGAAACAGCCAGTCAAGAAGACGATGACTTCCCTTAACTCACGAAAGATCACTTTTGACTACTAAAGAAGTGCCAAATCACATTTATTTATATAACGCTTTATAGAATATGGATTGTGTAACAGTCAGTTACACAGTAATAAACAGGAAAATGACTGTTAATGTTGCGATATTCGTAAATTTTCTCAGTTATACAGTACATAATCACAGGATTCTGTGCAAAGTAGCAAATCATTGCCAAATGTAAACTATACTATCGCAGAGCTCTAAACTCTGCAGGATGCTGATCAAATTGGATATTCTTGTTGTAGATTGGAGTTAATACATTATGAGGTGATATGATGAATTATGATAGCTGTAAGGTTATGTTCAGTTTATAACAGTTTGGTGTAGTGACAAGCAATGTTCCCTCAAATTTTTTTTCTTGCTGAGCAAAACTTTTCTCTATTGGGCAGACATTTCGGCCACCTGAGCAAACACATTCTTTATACCAGACCTGTACAATGCACACAGAAACAAGTGTGTAACTTTTGACTTTAATGTGCTATTTATATTTGATTTGACCCTTGATGTAACTAAATAATGCACATTTTGAGTTTCTTGAATTTCTTGGAGCTGTTACACCAAGAAATTCCTTTAAAAATTGTTTTTTTTTTTAAGAATATCACACATTCTAGTTAAATTCTTTATAATAATATAATATAATATAGTATTATATAATATAATATATTATAATATAATATGAAAAAATGAAAAAAAAAATGAATGCCGATATCACTCATGAATTCCCTTTTTGAGGTCATTTATTTATTAGGTTTATAATATAACATAATATAAAAACAAACTGAAACATTTAAAGTGAGTGTAAACTAAATATTTTTTAAAAATGTGAACATGTGAATTCTTCATTCTTATATAGTTATATAAGTAGAGTTTAGAGTAGTAGAGTTTGCACACTACTACACCTGTGTGTGACTGTAAATGTCTCGGAGTTTTGTTACCGTTCTGTGCCCATCATCCGCATATATTTCCAGCACTTAATCAAGCCACTCTTCTTTAAGACATGAAGACGTTTTGTTTCACATGTCATTGCGTTTGCATTTGGTTCTCGTGTTAGCTATTTCGTCCACAACCAT